GGTCATTCGTTTCGATTTTCCAAATTTGAAAATTTTATAAGTGATGTTATGAATCTTTTGTGAGGGGTCGATAATATTGAGATGGAGTTTATTTATTTCGTTTGAGTAATTCTACCACGTGATATAGGTGTTAGTGTTTGGTGAGTTCAATTGATACACGATCTTTTTCTCATGTATTAGCATTACCCTTTCTCATGCCCGTGATTTAGTTGAACTTTTGTTCAAGATAACCTCGCAACATGGATTCAAATCCATATGTTTCTACCAATGGAGGATTTTTAAGTTTATTGTAAATCTTCGATGGGTGAAATGTTGAGATTATTCGTATAAATGCTATCTAAACAATACTTGAAATCATTTTTACACAAACAGCATGGCATTAATGAATGAAAAGATGACTACAACAAAATGTGCTTCAATCTAATATGGGCAGAAGAGGGAGGGAGGGAGGGAGGGAAGGGAGCGTTAAGACAACAGTACTCACAAAAGTCATATTTCCTGTCTGAAACTATAACTTACCATTCGTGTTCCGTCAAATTTATTTTTTCTAATTACGGGATAACGACTTGGTTCTTCTTTTTTGTTTTTTCCTCTGCAAAAGAATTTCGTTTATCTCTTTTTCTTAAAATGTATTTTTCAAAATATTTATTTTATCCGAAGATTAATTATAATACATCATTCCTTAACTAACGATATTTATGTCATTTTACATACACATTTATTTTCTTATCTTTCACTTTTTTTTATTCAACTAAACAAGATGAAATATTTTTTTTTTAACTCTTCTTTCTTTCAATTTCTAATCCCCCCCCCTTTTCTTTCCACTTTCTAACCCTTTCTTTTCACTTTCTTTCATATAAATCAAATAAAGTATTGAAGCTCATTTACTTATATTATAATTTTGTTTAATTTTTTTAGTTATAAAATTATCGCCGTATTTTTTTTTTTTTACTATTTCAGAGATATGTACCAAAAATAAAAACACAAAAGTTGTTTTTCATATTCTCTTTACAAACCTTTGAAAATAAATATGACAGTTTTGTAATTAAAAAATTATATATATAT